GGGTGTTTTTACTAGGGTAGGACGATGGTCTATTGCTGTCAGTGCCTACACCATCTCTCACTTGCTGATGGCAGTTGCTTGTTCTGTAGTTAAGGAAGGAGAGCCTGAATTATCAATCAAGGGGGAGCTAACATTCTCAGTAGAGCTTTAAGACATGTGGCCAGAGGCTGTAAGGTGGGCATTGATCAAAGCTAAGCAAGCTGGATGGTGGATGTAAGCTTCTCTGTACCTAAAAAGGATCTGGTGGCCACTTTGAATGGTTTGACTAATAATGCTCCTTGTTGTAATGTGATTATGACAAATATTGCTGGGAGATTTTTCATTGTAGTGTTTATATCTGGATTGTAATTTTCTTTTACTTTAGACTTTGTTTCTGCTTAGATGATTTTCTTTTGCTTTAGTCTTTGTTTCTGCTTAGATTGTTTGGCTATCTTTAGCCATTCCTGTAGCCCCTGGGGATTGTAGCAATCAGTCGATTGCCCGATGTGAAACCTTTATTTGAATGATTTAATAATAAGTTATTTGTCGTTGAAAAAAAAAATAAGAAAAAATAAAATAAAATAAAATAAAATGAGCAAAAACAATAATGCTAATAATATCCATTAAACAACGCGGTCCACAAATCTTCAGTCCTTTTATACATAGTCTATATACATAGCCACACTTCTGGAAACAAACGGGGATTAAACCAACATTAGTTACAAGTTTCTCTTTGCCTAAACTTTAAAGAGCTAAATTGAAAAATAGAAATGCAATAAAAAAGAAAAGAATATAGAGTTCCATCATACATATTCATCTTACACAACCCGGCTCTTCAACTATAGTCTCCAGCAATGGCTTCTTGGACCTGCACATAGACAATCTGTGCTTAAACTCCGGCGTCGAGTACTCTTCAATATCGTCCAACTTCAGCCTCGGCACCGACATTCTCTCCCCATTGCCGCAGCTCTCCGGCGAGATCTTGGCGCCTCCGTGGGCGGCGCCCCTCTTGGAAACGGATCTCGCCGCCAGGAACAGGGGCGCCATGTCCGCCGCCGTCGCCGCCGTGTTCAGCCTTGCCATCGGAAAGAACACGTAGACGTTGCCCATCTCGAGGTCCTCGTCGGCGTTCAGGGCGGCGAATCTTCTCCCGATGCGCAGCGATCTGGTGCTGACGATGAAGGAATTTGGGGCTTCCAGCATGAGCTCGGCGGCTTTGGTCGGCTGGTCCACGCGCCGGATTTCGCCCCAGGGGAAAATGACCTTTGTAGCCCTGCCCGAGTTTTTGCCCGCGGTGCCGAGCAGCGTGCAGGATATGTAATTCCCCATTGAGAGGAAACTGAAGAAACAGAGAATTTTGGTGAGGTTTTGTTTGGGAGATGGGAAGTGTTGGGGAGTATCATATGTATATAAAGGGTTTGGTGGGAAATAAAGTCAAAATTTGAAATTGGTGGACATTTTTTTTTATGTAGAAAATATATTGTCAAGCTTAGGACAGTTGTACGTACGTACACTCGGTGGGGAAGGTGAAGTGAGAAAAAATGGGAATGTGGTAAAAATAAATTCAGGTAAGATGGTTGACTGCCTCTCGTAATCGGATGATTTTTTTTATTGATTTAATCAGTCAGATTACATGTACCAAAAAAAAAAAATAATAATAATTACAGTTAATATATATTTTTCTTATATTTAAAGTCTAGTAATAATTGTACCAAAAAAAAAAAGTCTAGTAATAATTGTGAATATCCAACGATGAAATCATACCGTTACCCTTGTTTGCTTTGCAGGATTAGAAGTGTTCTAATCAAACGAGGGATTAAGGTAGAATAAGACGAGATATAATAATCCTGGCATGTAAAATACCATTTTTGCCCCTAACTTTTATTTAACAGATTTATTCAAATGAGAAATAGAGTAATTCGTACCATTATATTTAATTTTACATTTTTTTTTTTAAAAAAAAAAGTTATCCTAATCCTTATCCTATTTAACAAACATGATATTTTGTCCAAATACAATCCTTCAAAATTGGACTATTTTAGTCCATCCCAGAAAACATGGGGGATTGTAGCCGTCCTCCATATTATTTTCGTTGTTAAGAATTCAAACTTATGTCGCAATATAAATATATCCATGTGGCCCCCATATATATAGTGAAGAGAATCATTATATAGAGATGTTACGGTTTCGTTCACTACAAAAATAACTCTTACATTTCAACGGAAATTTTCTGTTAGAATTCTTTATATTTTCCGTTGGAATAGCTATTCCAACGGATATTCCTACGTATAAAAATTCGTGGGAAAGACGGCCATTGGAATAGCTAAAATCCAACGGAAAATCCTATGGAAATAAATTCCTACAACTATTCCAACGGGAAAAATCCGTTGGAATTCATCAACCATCTAACACTTATTCCAACATAAAATTAAGTTTGTTGGAATATTCATTGGAATTTCCAACGGAAATTTTGCTGTTGGAATTTTTCGTTGGAATTGAAGTGTTTTCTTGTAGTGGTTACGGAATCATTCCGTCGGAATTTATAACCGTTAGATCAACTATCTTCGACGATTTCATGATGATCTAACGGTTACAAACCCGACAGAATGATTCCGTAACGGGACCGCAGCATTTCCCCATTATATTGAATATGATTTAGAATGGTTTTTATTATTTATCAAATTTTATGTGAAGTGCGATTATTTAAAGTACTGCGGGGAAAAATTATCGCGTAGCATTATTCATCACGTAATTAAAAAAGATGAAACAAAAACTACATTATTTATAATTGAAAACATTGAGAGAAAAAAAAAAAAAAAACCACATTAATTATCATTTATAGCATTTTATGAACATCTTTCCTATTTAATATTACACTGCGAGTCTACGACGGAACTAATAAATAAATAAATAATTAAAGTTCCAAAACTAACAATTATACAAATATATAAACATTCTTAATGATTTTCTAATAAACCATAAAATATAGTAGTATTAGTTAATAACTAAATTGAAAAGGAGTTGGGGTCGGGTAGAGTCCGCGTCTAGCACCGGAAAGTGGGGATCGAAACCAGACAGTTGTCTAAGTGGAAAATTGGACGGGAAAAGCTGTGTTTCCAGTTAGGCATCACATAATTAACTAAGGTGACTCATTTTTTCCATTTTCTCGGGACTTTTAATTATGCTTATTATGTGTTGCTATAGCGCGTGGGGCCAATTTCGCGCCACCTTCATTACTTTCGTTTGGTGTATTTTGTATACAATAAATATAAAAAAACATTCTAAATCAACGAGCCGAGCCGAGTCGAGCATTGGCCTTATCGAGCAAGATTGAAATTTTTTTTCTGCTGATCGAGCTCGAGCTCGACTCGAATTCAAAATGCTCGAGTTCGGCTCGAATTCGGTTCGAATTTTTTCAAGCAATTTTGTAAAATAATCATTATATATATATATATATATATATATATATATATAAGGATATTTTAATAATTTCATATATCTCGAGCCGCTCGCGAGCCGCTCGACAATGTAAAACATAGGCTCGAGCTCGACTCGAGTTCGTGCTCGAACCGCTCGAGCTTGACTCGAGTTCGGTCAAACTCGAGTTCAAGCCGAGCTTTGTCTCGAGTGCTCGCGAGCGACTCATAAGTTGCTCAACTTGTTTGCAGCCCTAGTCGTGCGGGACTTTGGACACTTCCTAGGTATGATGGTGATGATAGAAGTCCATTTATTATGTTTATAATTAGTTCAAAAAATGTGCTTTTGTAATAATAAACTAATACGTACCCCGTGCGATACACGAGACAAAGATACTAAATTATTTATTTTCACGAGCCTTGTCCGTTTAAGTCCAAAAAATAATATGTTATCATCTATTTTCCGCCCCTTTTAATTAGTGTTAAGTCTATTTTCCACATCTTTTAATCATTATTGTTTTTTAGCCAGAACATTAAATATGAGTATGTTAGGGATAACTTGTAAATAATTAATATATTATCTCATCAACACATTTATACTAATATAAATTTTATTTTAGTATATATATTTATTCCTTGATATAAGAGAAAAATAACAATTTTATTTATTCTTGTTCACCATATAACATTTATTCATTATTTAATTATTAACTTTGTTGCCATATAATGTCATTATAATTAATAAAAGTTATAGAAGTTGTACATCTTTGTTTTTTTATTTTATGTAATGAAAAATATTTAGTGCTCGCTAGTATTATTTATTTATGTAATCAACTTAAAATATGTAAATGAATTTAAAATTAAGTAGTTTACAAATATTTTACAATATACACGCATGTTTTTTTAGAATTTAATTTTATATACTAATTAAACAACTTTGATTTGGAAAATGTAAAAAGCTCAATCCCTTCTATAATCAAGATTTTTCTAATTCGCATTATAATGATTTTTATATATAACAAAATAAAGTTTAAAAAATTTTATTGGCAAATTAATTAACAACTTGATTTCGTCTGATTAATTAGAAGACAAAATTCTACCTAACCGGCTTCAATTTTATGAGATTTTTTTGACTAAACCGATGTTATGGTATAAAACAATTAAGCAAAATAGTTAAATAAAATATTTGATGGAAATAGAATGCATTAATTACCTTTGACTTTTCTACCTAATATTTCTAATAAATATAATGACTTTTTATATAAGTAAAAATTTTATTAAAAACATAAAAAAAAAAAAAATTGATTAACTTGATTATATTTTGACAAAATGGTATGATACGATAGATAGTATTATTCTACGAGAAAAAAAAAAAGAGAAATATTAAGTAGCCAGACACCACTATCAAGGAGTCATACTAAGAGGAGCACTTAGTTAAAATGTCCTAACACAAAATAAAAGAAAAACATGACGGCAATAAATTTCTAACCTCCTACAATGACAATTGAAAATGAATTCGGTAGACCCAAGAGCGCTTGGATGAGATGGCTTGGGTTTCTTCCAGCTTAACCAGTGGTCTCGTGTTCGAGCCTTGAGAATGCAGCAGTGTTAAAACTCTTGAGGGAGAGGTTTGCCGCCCTTGTGGTCCTACCCGGCTCGATTCTGGATTAGTCGGTTCCCCTGTGGATCCAAAAACCGGAAGGTCCCTGTACCAAAAAAATAAAAATAAAAATGAATTCGGTAGCGCCTGACATTCACTCCGACTGCTACTAACACACACAAAACCAACAAAATAGAAGAGTAACTAACCACTGACAAGCAGAGCACAAATCAAAGCTAACTAGACCTACCAAACAACTAAACAGAAACTAAGCTAACTTGATGTAAATAATTGGAGGTTGACAGTAAGTCGACGAATCTTTATTGGTCTCAGTTGATCAGGAATATTTAAGGGAATTATGTTTTCTTTATATCTTAGATTAATTTTAATTGCTTCATTTTATTGAAAAATAGTAATATGTGTATTATTTTTGGCAGGGCTAATTGAAGGCAATCGAGATACACCTTCGATATGCGCAAGATACAACCAGATTTGGACCTTCCAAAAGAAGAGCCAACTGAATCAATCAAGGACTTACCATATGTGAACGTGACTTGGCAGCAAAGTTTTGGGTGTGAGTTACCATATGGGAATCAAGATAAAAGGATGGCGATACACTTGTAGAGTAGGACTTTTGATATTCTTTTACATATGTTGGTCCTCCGAATATCATATGAATTACTCCTCTCTTCGAGAAGAGTTCCTCTTTTTCTGGCAATCTTGGCCTCTTGCGAGGACTCTTGCTCCTCTTCTTCTTTCGACTAGACCCTCTCTCCCAGTCCTTGTAAATGAATTCTTTCAAATGTCTTGATTTTATAAACCTCTTGATCTTGTCTTTCAAGTGTCTACAATCGTCAGTGTTGTGCCCATAGTCCTTGTGAAATCGACAATACAAGTTGCTATTGGGCTTAACAGGTCTATCCTTCCTCGTCCTTGGCCATCTCACGACATTCTCATGGATCTCTTTCTCCATTATCACCAAATTCTCGCTTGAGGAGCTGATAAAGGGGTGTACTAAATCAGCCTCCATCCTTTAGATCGCCCTTCTCCCCTCTCTGCTTGCGGGGATCCTTTCCTTTCTCCCGAAGAGTGGGATTTTTTGTCCTTCTTCTCATATCGAGCCTCCAGCTTGGCTGGCTTTGTAGCTTGTGAGAAGCCAGCTTCTGCTTCCTCGACATTCATATACTTCGCACACCTTCCCAAGACTTCATCAAAAGTTCGACCGGGTCGTTTTGCCAAGGAATTCTTGCATAATTCTGGTAGTAGATCCCTAATTAGTCCTCCCGACTTGATCTCCTCTGTGGCTGTGGGCACATTCACGCATGCCCGAGTATATCAAGCAACATAATCTCGCAATGATTCCCCTTCCTTCTGCTGCATCCCAATCAGGGTCAGGTGAGACTTTTCGTGAGCTCTGACACTTGCGAACTGATTGAGAAAGCTTGAACTGAATCCATCAAAGTCTTGGACAGTCCCCCGGTGGTAACTGATGGAACAAATCTTGAGCCGGTCCCAGCAATGTTGTCAAGAAAGCTCGACATCGTGCAGAATCACTCGGTGGAGCACCGCCATGTTCTCGAAACTCCTTAGGTGTCTAGATGGGTCCGTAGACCCGTCATACCATATGCTCAACTCTCTGAAGCCTTGCGCTAAGTCAGTAGCTAGAATGTGTTGGGAAAATGGATGTCCCCGTGAGTTACCATTCTCTCTCTCTCTACTCGTGCTTGAAAGTTGCGAAACTAGGCTATTAATTGCTCCAAAGTATCATTCCTTGCCTGTGGATTGACAGTCCTGATTGATGACTCCTCTTCCTTTGCTCTCATATTATATGGCTCATTTGACTGGGCATGTTGCTCTTGCTCGTGTCGAGGTGGAGGTTCCACTCGATGTTGTTGCTCGACCCGAGGTGTTTGTCCAAGTTGGGCTGTCACTGGTTCTGCAATCATCTTTTGCATCTCGCTCCTTGTGATAGTTAGTATTTGCTCCCTCGAGTTGGGATTGTGTTCTCGCTCCTCCTCGTTTCAACACTCCCTCCAACTGTTTCCCAACATTTTGAGGTGTTTCTCTCAGTTCTCGCTCCCCAACCCCAGGAATTGGATTCAACATCTGGCTGGTTCCTTCTTGAGCTAACACTTGAATTTTTACCCCAGGTGGGGTAATGGGTGTCTCTTCCTCCACACGCACTCCTGGCGGCGCGTGTCCTCCAAATGGGGCTAAGAACCACTGGGGGCCTCCTATCCGTCCATGTTCCTCTAAACTTCTCATTCACGTTTCTCTGTAAAGATCCATTCTCAGCCATCTCAGAGAATCAGAACTAGGTGCGAAACTATTTATTCCTTCAAGAACTCCCCACAGACGGCGCCAAAATGATGGGTCTCCTCCTAGATCTGAGGTGAACCGATTGATTAAGCTCCAATTTTTTTGAACCACCTTCAAATTGCCTTCGACATCTGTAAGAACTCAACACTAGAGGGAACTCCGACCTAGAGCCTCCGATGCTTAAGTTAGTAACAAGAAGGGAGAAGATGAGCTGTAGAGAGCAACAACAGTAACATAGAAAGTGTGTGGAGTGTGTAAAAGTTAGGGTTTGGTGTTACTTCAATCCCTTTTATAGAGGAATATACTTGCTTGAAAAGTCCAAAATGCCCTTGGTCGACCGGACTATTCACCTAGTTTATTTTTGTCCCAATCATCTTTTGTTCAGATCTGAGTTAGGATAAGATAGAATCTTATCCTATACAGATTCGTCCTTATCCGTCACGCCTGTTGAATGTATAGCCTCCCCCATCATCACACACCTTGACCCTCAGAGTATGTAGAGTCGACTTCGAGTAGCAAGAAGTCGACTTGAGGGCAACATATGGATGAAATATTCCAAGAGGTTCTACTACTCGCCCTTTCCCGTCTTCTTAACAAAATAAGTCGACCTTCAGTTAGATGGTTAGGAAGTTGACTTGTGGATGTCGATTTGTGTATGTGGAGAGTCGATTTCTGGTAAAATAATGTAGAAAGTCGACTTGTGGGTGTCGACTTCCCCTACCCTGTCGAGGGAAGCTGTCGTTGACTTATTCATCCTTTACCAACATCGAGTTTCGAGTCGATATCTTGTGTGAACTGCTTCCTCGACTCCACTCGAGCTAGGTGACTCGTCCTGATACCTTGTCGAGCCGCTATAACCGGTCTAACCGAGTGTGGCTATATCATTATGGTTTCAAGTTTGGACTCTCCCGGTAATTATTTTGTTGTCATTTTTTGTTCCATCTCAATCACAAACATAAACAAACAAGGACCACGAATTATCAGACGGAATAATATATCCATGACATCACTTGATTTTCACACAACTTAAATGTTTTAAACTTTGCTTTCGAAATTATCAGCGACAAAGGGAGTCGAAAGTGAAAGGGGTTTAAATTAACTAGCAAGTTGATGAAGGATGATGCAATAATCTGGATTTTTGCTGTGGAATTTCGTTGTTACATTACATCTCCTATCATCATGAATATTATATTATATGTCATTGGACACATTTCACTATATTTAAATCATACATTGGAAAAGTTTAAAAAAGTCTATGTAATTTGGGGTGGTATTTAGTGCAAAATGATGTCATTTTAGTCCATTAACTTTTTGATTTTTTTTCATATTTGCCAACTAATTTTTTAGGATTTCAATTTAGTACAATATGCTCTTCGTCATCAGTTGTTAATATGTACAAAATAAAATCTTTTAATCTGATATATCCAACAATCTTTTGTTTTGCCATACTTTTTTTTTTTTTCATATTATTATTATTAATGAAAAATCATCGTTGAAAAAAGGATCTATTCGTTTTGATAAAAAAAAAGGATCTATACTCAAGAGCGCTTAGATGAGATGACTTGGGTCTCTTCCAGCTTAACCAGTGGTCTCGTGTTCGAGCCTTGGGAATGCTGCAGTGTTAAAACTCTTGAGGGAGAGCTTTCCCACCCTTGTGGTCCTACCCGGCTCGATTCCGGATTAGTCGGTTCCCCTGTGGATCCGGAAATTAGAAGGTCCCTGTACCAAAAAAAAAAAAAAAAAGATCTATTCGGCGACATCCTATTTGTATATTCGACCTTCGGATATTTTTAGACCTTACATTTTCACACAAAGGTTAACTCATAAATTTTTAAATGTTATCTTCGAATAAAATATCAAACATCTCAATTAGTGAGAATCTAGTCTCGAGGTTCCAATTAATCAACACAAGTCCTATAATTTCTAAAGTGATTGATTTTAGTAAAATTCCGTCTAAAATGTTGACCTTTTTTGTTGCAACTTTTCGACAAAGTTTCATGTTTCCGAAAAACTTATCCTTAAATTGTTTAAATTTCAAATTTCAATTCGAATCTACACACTTCATGTGCACATATTTCGTAAAGAATGCAGTCAAAATTCAAATCTTAGGTGAAACAACTATTCTATGATTGTTGAATTTTAAATTTTTGCTCTTGCGTATGCATTCCTTTATATATATTAACTATTGATTATTGTTTATTTTCAAATTAAGACTACTTTTTGTAAACATCCACACTATTTTGGTAATTTTGCCAATTAATCAATACATATTTGAAGGCACACGATAATTCTATGGATCAGACGGATGGCTCCGTTATGGAGCCATTCATAACTTTATGAACTGACATGTGTCCAATGTGTATTTAATGCAGGACACATGTCAATACACTATTTATGAAGAATTATGGATGACTCCATAAACCGAACCATCTGATGGCTCCGTAGCAAAACCGCTTGTTCCTATAAAGCACCACCTCAATGATTCCCATTTATTTTCACTAGTGTGCAGATACATAAGCTTTTCATATATATGTATAACTAACACCATGGATCATAAGAAGCTCAAAGAAGTTCCTTCAGAATACCATATGATGGGTGGTGATGGCCCTCACAGTTATGCTCAAAATTCTGATTACCAGGTAATCTTTCACTTAACCCACCTTAATTACATATCAAATCAAGATGATTAATATACAAGTTAATATTATCACCCAGTTAGTTATGTGCAAGCTGCAATGAACACTTTCCTAAAAATAAATAAATAAGTACCTTCAAAATTGCAACCCTAACGTGTTATATATGTAAGAAAAGGCTAAATTTAATTTTTGTAGTACACTATGTTGGTCATATTTCGAAAAATGTTCACTATATAGGATGTGATCAAGAATGTTCTACAAAGTTGCCACTTCTCATCAAAACTCGTACAATAACCAGCATCGTGTACTAAAAATGACAATCACTTAATTTTAGTATATTGTGTTGGTTTCTGTACCAATTTTGATTAAAGTGACAACTTAGTGGACGTTTTATTTTTTATTTTTATTTTTTTATTTTTATTTTATTTTTTTTTAACACCCTATATGGACATTTTTTGAAAAATGAAAAAAAACATAGTGGACCGTTTTCGAAAATTTGCTTGTAAAAGATTGGCTGGACCGAAATTGAACCGAAAGGCTAAATTTCATCTTTAGTACACTATGTTGATCATTTTCTGAAGATGGTCCATCATATAGGGCGTCTTATAAAATGATCCACTAAGTTGTTGTTTTAATCAAAACTCGTACAAAAGCCAACATAGTGTACTGACAACGAAAAATGATCACTTTTGGTATTTGGTTATTGTACAAATTTTGATTAAATTAGCAACATAGTGGACCGTTCTTGATGACGTCTTAGATGATAAATCTTTTTTCGAAAAACGGCCAACATAGTGGACCATTTTTTAAATTTTACCGAAAATGAATCGAATTTGAATATTTAAAGAAAATTATTGGAAGTTCTCGATTCAAAATACCTCAATCAATTAATTATATATTCTCTCCGACGATTGCAGAGACAGCTTGTGGTGTGGTCAGAGGGGCTGATTCACGAGCTCATAACCGAACACCTGGACACCTCTTTTAACACCATCCGAATAGCGGACTTGGGCTCCTCTGTGGGCCCAAACGCCTTCCTCGCGGTCCGGAACATAATCTCCGCAATAAAAGCCAAGTGCACGTCCACCCAACAACACGTCCCCGAATTCCACGTCTTCTTCAACGACCTCCCCGACAACGACTTCAACACCCTCTTCCGGAACCTGCCCCGGGACGGGGGCTACTTTGCGTGCGCATCTCCGGGCTCTTTCCACGGACGTCTTTTCCCGAGAAAGACGGTGGATATCGCGCACTGCTCGACGGCGCTGCATTGGCTGTCGAGGGTGCCGGAGGGAGTTGGGGAGAGGGGGTCGGTCCATTATTCGGGGGCAGGCAACGAGGTGAGAAGGGCTTACCGGGAGCAATATGAGGTGGATATGCGGGATTTTTTGAGTTCAAGGGCGGAGGAGCTCGTCCCCGGCGGGCTCATGCTGCTGCTGGTGCTTGGGTTTCCAGATGGGGAAGTGTTGTCTGACTCTGGTATTGGGGTGGCGTTTCAGATTCTTGGCTCCTGTTTGCACCACATGGCCAAGATGGTCAGTGTTTTTTGTTTCCTTTCATCATTTTACTTTTCATTTTTTTTTTTTCTACTTCTTCCTGTTAAACCATTATTTTTCTTAACAAATACTTAAAAAATAAATAATTAAATATATAAAAAGTACGAGATTTCTTTGCATAAGTATATATTTTGTTAAAAATGTAAGACAGATTGACTCGTTTAATTATTAGACCGTTTCACAAAAATTATGGATATGTAAATGTTAAAAAGACAAATCTATTAAGGAAATATTGAAACATTAGAGAAAAAAAATATTAACCATTCAAACTATGTTATATTTTAAGCTTGTTATATAATATTTTGAAGTTGACAAAGCGTTTCTCATACCACATGAAATGGACAATTTGTCTCTCGCAATTAAAAACCCTAATGGGACACATTTTTTTTTTTTTAACTCAGTTAACAATAAATTTTAAATCGAATCTTAGGGATTTTAAACATTATTACAAGATGAACAAAATAAAGTATGATTAATCGACGAATAAGTTAGACAACACTTGTGTATAGGACTAACATTGATTTAAATTTTTCGATGATTAAAGGTAACTATTTATTAAACGAGGTTGATGTTATGAAAAAACCAACAACTGAGTTTTGGCTAGTAATTAAACAATTTGATAAATATCTTTTTTTTTT